ATGCTATCATGCCCAGGTAATTATTTATTTTTGGTAGATATAGTGTGTTCCTACGTTGCCCAGCCTGTTCTCAAATTCTGGGACTCAAGAAACCCTCCCACCTTGGCCTTACAATGTGCTGAGACTACAGGTGTGAACTACTAGTCTGCTTTTATATCATCATCTTTATTCTTTTTCAAAAAAATTTTTTGTTATCCCTGTCCATTTTTCCTTTCATATGAAATTTTAATTAGCTTATAAAATCCATACAACAATTTTATTTGAATTTTGATTGAGCCTGCAGTGAGTTCTAGGATAATTTGGGAAGATTGGACATTTTCTAAATCTTGATATTTCCCCAAAGCCCAGACATGTCTCTGATGTTTAGTCTTCTTATCAGGAAGCTGGTAGCCTCTGCAGTCTTCTGTTCTTTGGTAAAGTGTTAGTATTTTCTTTAAATAGGTCTCAAAACTTTTAAAATATTTTTCTTATTGATAAGTATTTTTATAGTTGTTTTGTTGTTGCAACCTTGAATAGGCTTTTTTCCCATTATATTTGCTAATTGGCTTTTGCTGATTTTTAGGAAAACTACTCTGTTGAAGTTTCTTGCAGTTCTAGTAGTTTTTCAGCCATTTATTTTACACTTTTTAGTCAATAGTAGCATCTATAGATAATGAGTTTTGTCTCTTCCTTTCCAGTTATTGTACCTCATTTATTTATCTTATCTTATTGGATTAGATAAGTATATTGGCTCAACATTGAACAGTCATGGTAAGATTGGGCACCATGATTCTTCTTTCTGTCTTTAATAAAAGTCTACTAGTGTTTGTTAATCAAATATGAGGTTTTCTATGGGTTTGTGGTAGATGACTTTTGTGATGTTAAGGAGGATTTTGTCTATTAATCTGAGTTAAAGAATATTATATGAAAGTGTTAAATAAATGCTTTTTCTAGAATCCAGATGATTATTTGCATTTTCTCTTTAACTTATATGTTAATTTAATTGGTAGATATAGTGACTTACATTATACTTACCTGAATTTAGTCTTGGAAAAAAAAATACTTTTGGGTAGTAATAAATTGTGTCATATTACTTTTATGTGATTTCTTCTTAGTATTTTATTTAGTTGTTTGACATTAACAGTTATAAGTGAAATTAGCCTGTGAATAAGCAGACTAACGACCTCATAAAGATATCCTAATTCGTGGAACCTGTGAATAAGCTACTTTACGTAGCAAAAGGATGTTGCACATATGGGTTAGGTTAACAAATTTGTGCTATAGTGATTATTCTAGGTTCTCTTCATTGGCCCAATAGAATTGCAGAAGTCCTTAAAAAGGGAAAATCTTTTCCAGCTGCAACTAGAGACAGAGAACTAGAGATGCAGCAACAGAGGAGGGTTCGGAGAGATGTTATGTGAGAAGGGCTAGTGCTGACTTTACTGGATTTGAAGACAGAGGAAGTGTACCATGAGCCAAGAAATGAAGGCAGCCTCTACTAGAAAAGACAAGGAAGTAGATTCTCCTCTAGAGCATCTAAAAGACAATGCAGCTTTGCTGACGCCTTGATTTTAGCTCAGTGAAGCCCACGTTGGACTTCGGACCTACAGAACTGTAAGCTAATAGAGTTGTGTTGTTTTAAGCCACTAAAGTTTTTTAGAGTGGCAATAGAAAATTAACATAGCCTATGGTTTTATCTGTGTGCTCTCCAAGTTTAGAAACAAAACTGTAGCTGAAAAGTTTTCTTCTTTTTCAATGCTTTAAAACAGACCAGAAAAATCATTCAAGCTTGATAAAATTAAGCTGTTAAACCTGGCTCTTGTGCGTTTTTAAAGGAGAAAACATTTGATTCTTCAATTTCTTTTGTGACATCTCTTTTTCTACCATGCCTTATAATTCTTATGTGTATATTTTTTCTTCCCTACTAGACTGGAAGCTTCTTGAATGCATAATGTGTCTGATTAATCTTGGTATCTAACTCAGTACCTAAAATAATCGCTTACAGTAATGTAAACGTTTATACAAATACCTTATTCAGCTTTGCATCCTCACAGCACTATATACAGTGTCTAATGTTTGTGAAACTAATTTCAAAAATATAGAGTGATTTAGACAGCTTCATTGATTAGGTAACTCAGATAATATGGTGAGTGAACATGAGCTTTGAAGTCAGGCCTGAGAGTTAGATCCTGGATGAAGTACTTTCCTAACTGTAACTGTAGACAGTTGATTAACATCTCAAAGATTCACTTTCCTCACTAGTAAAATGGTGATAATAGTACTTATTTTATAGTGAGGCAATGTTTGTAGAGTGCTTAGCACAATACTGGATACATAATTGTTGCTTTGTAATTGATACATGTTATTAAGTTATGATAATTAAAGAACGTTAATTCCCAGCTACTCGGGAGGCTGAGGCAGGAGAGTCGCTTGAACCTGGGAGGCAGAGGTTGCAATGAGCCAAGATTGTGCCACTGCACTCCTGCCTGGCAACAGAGTGAGACTCCATCACAAAAAAACAAAACTCAAAGAAACAAAACAAAAAACAAACAAAAAATCACGTTATTTAGAACTGAGTCATATTTTATAAACATGTTTCTTTTTCTGTTGATGCTGTTGTAATTTTTTGGCTATTGTCATGTCAAAAGGGGATACTGAGTCTTCAGTCTGTTCTTGTGTATGTAGTAGTGCCATCAATATCTTTAGTTCACGCCTTGAACAAGTATTCTCCATGGATGAAGTTACATCTTAGCAACGTGGAATATAATAGAAGCAACGTTAGGTGTGCTTTTATAGCTCATGAAGTCAGTGCTTTAGAAACTAAATTAAGATGTTTCAAGGGTTTTCTTCCTATGTAATGCTGTGATGTTGCTAATCCCTTCCTACTCTTAAAGTTGGTGACTCTCCTAGTTCACATTAACTGCCATTGATATAGTTTGGATAATTATCTCCACCCAAATCTTATGTTGAAATGTAATCCCCCATTAGAGGTGGGGCCTGGTGGAAGGTGTTTGGGTTATGGGGGATGGCTTGGTGCTGTCCTCTGGGTAGTGAGTTCATTCACATGAGATCTGGTTGTTTAAAGTGCGTGGCACCTCCCATACTCTCCCTTGCACCTGCCTTCAGCATGTGAAGTGCCTGCTCCTGCTTTGCCTTCTGCCACAAGTAAAAGCTTCCTGAGGCCTCCTGAGAAGCAGATGCCAGCACTATGCTTCCTGTACAGCCTGCAGAAGCATGAGCCAATTAAACATCTTTTCTTATAAATTATATAGTCTTGAATATTTCTTTATATCAATGCAAGAGTGCCTAACAGCCATCTTTATATTTATGAAACCCTCCCTCAGGCTTAATAATTAGTTGACTCGAACACAATGAAGAAGTGGTCTCCTGTCTTTATGAATTCATATGTAAAGAGACAAGACAATCTTGTGTTGTGATTTGTTTTGTAGTTTTCAGTAAAACCTTGTAGGATAGGTTGTAGTGAACTGTGTATATCTTACATCATTTTCTGGGAATTCAAAGGGAAGAAAAATTGAAGATATGAAAATTTAACACTGATTAACTTGCTTAATATGGTTCTAAGTGTGCGACCTCTGGTTGTGGGACCCCAACCCACGGAGGCAGGCACCCAGTAGACACGAGGCAGGACGCATGGTGACCGGTGCCGACTTTATTGGGACCTCCGGGCGACTCAAGCGGGAAGGGAGGAATCGCGCCCGCTTTCCTTGTTCGGTCGGTTTTATAGGGGCAGAGGGCCTGGGGCGGTGGGAGAGCAGTGGCGGCGGGTGATGATTGGTTAGTCCCGGTTGCCGGGCGGGGAGTTTGCCGAACGGGAAGTTGAGTGGGCAGGAGGTTGATAGGGCATATGGTGATTGGTCAGGATTTGGGCAGGAAGTTTGCTGGGCGGGAGCTAAAGAGGCAGGTGATGATTGGTTAGGTGGTTGCTAGGCGGAAGGGGCTGGAGTTCCTTCAGTCGGGGGCATTGTGCCGAGTCACGTAAGGAAGTTAAGCTCCTTCCATGTGGCTGGGGGTTGGGGCCAGAGAGGCCTTCTACCAGACATTCCCAACTCCTTAAAGAGGAAAAGGGGCGGTGGCTGTCCTTCTGGCTACTTCCTGCTGACTTTGGGGTGGCGAAGGGGTGAGGGTAGGAGTTTAGGCTGTCTGGAGAGGGGTATAACGGTATTCTGGCCGATGGAGATTAGGCATCGGTTGGAGTATCATTTGATGGATGGTGACTCTAGTAAGCTCCTGGAATCGCTTTTGAAGAAACTGGAAGAGACAGGGTCAGAAAAACAGGATTAGGCAGAGGCCGAGAATGGGTCCAAGGAGAGGAAGGAGGTAAGGGAGAAGTCCATTAAGCCCACTCCACAGAGGGTTATCCTGGAGAGCCTTCCGTCGTTTGGCCAAGTCCTCCTGGAGAGTTTTAATTTTGTCCCTGACGATGCCCGACCGGTTGGCGTAGAAGCAGCATTGCTCGTTCAGGGCGAGGCACAGGCCTCCTTTTTCGGCTGTGAGCAGGTCCAGACCTCGGCGGTTCTGTAAGACGACCTCTGCAAGGGAATCAAGCTGGTCCTGGACAACTTGAATGGTAGATGAGAGTAGATCAACATCATTAATTAATTGACGAGAGAGCTGTTGATAGGTTTGTAGGGAATAGCCTAGCCCAGCGGTTCCCGTAGAGACTGCAGCCGTGATGCCAAGGGTGGCCAACAAAGGGATAAACTGGACTGCCCTTTTATTTCTTCCTATTACTGAGTCGAAACTGGGAAGGGGAACAGGATCATCTCCCGAGACGATACTAGCATCGGGGAAAAGGGATGCCACTATGCATATACCTGTCCAGTTTTGGGGTAGGTAAGAGAAGGCCATGTTATTCCCGCAAACAAAACTCTGTCCTGGGAGGGCAAACAAAGCAGTGTTAGAATTTCTAAAACTAGAGCAATTACAAGACTCTAAGACAGAACCTACATCAAGATCATAGGAGTTATTTATAGGAGTTTTTTTGGTAGCATGTGACATTGTCACAGGCGCTCCCTATGGGTTGAACTGGGAAAGGGAGCCGAAGGGTCCCATTGTGGCTGTGGTTGGCAGGGGCGGGCAGAGCCAAGGGCATAGGGGTTCCCATGTAGGAGGAAGCTGTGGACCGCTTTAAGAAGACTTTGTGTTGATCTGTCCAAATCTAGGCGGCGAGATTTGGGCAAGGATAAAGGATGGTAAGATAAGGTGGGAAATAATGTTTTAAGAGTCTCCTTAAGATGATGAGACTTCATTTGGTCATGTGGGCCCCCTCCATCACTGACGCCAATGGTAGGTTTGGTTTGCCAACAGACAGCCTGTCTAGAGGGCGTTGGACAACCAGCACTGGCATGTTTATAGGAGATGCCTAGTGGCGTGCTGGAGGCCCAATCTCCCCCAAACGACCCTGCTCGTCTACGGATGACCTGAGCAGTGAAGTACGTGGTATTGCCCCTGAGACAAGTAGCATATTGGTTGTAACAGCTGCTGTGTATAGACTGATACACAGTGGAAGAGCAGTTGCAGGATGGTAAAGGGGACCCCGGCGGAATTAGGGTTAGGGTTGGTTTTTTTAGACACTTGTACTCTGGTTTTTGGTTATTGCCATAAACAAGGTATGCCGTCATGGTGCCACAATCGATTGTAGACTGGTAGGTGCCGGGTACAGAAGACACGAAGCCCCCTTTGCAGTTGCATGGCTCTCGGTATACAGCCTCCAACACCTGATTTGGGTTATAGCCTGAACCAAATCCACCCTGGTTAGGTTTTGGTAAGTTTAAGAGATAAAGGGCCAGTAGAAGAGGCCCTCCAGCTGGGAGGGGGCCATGGACAGCCTTTTTAACCCGAGAAAGGTGAATCCAGGATGGGACCTCAGCTATTTTTATGGCAGAAGGGGTGGTGAGGATGACCGTGTACGGGCCTTCCCACTTGGGGGTTAGAGGTTTCGGGGTTAGAGATTTTATAAGGACCGAATCACCCGGGGAGATTTTTTGGGTGCCCTCAGATGGCTGGGTAGGTTGGGGAAGAGAGGCGTTAGCGTGCTCACGGAGAAGGCTTCGGAGAGGGGTGAAATAAGGGAGGTATCCTTCTAAGGGAGCAGCGTCAGGAGGTGGTGGGGTTGAGAGCAGAAAGGGGCGACCGTATAGCAGCTCAAACGGGCTGAGCTGTGATGGGCCCCGAGGGCCTGCCCTTAGCCGAGCGAGGGCAATGGGAAGCAAGGTTACCCAAGACTGGCGAAGTTCTAGCATGAGCTTGGTTAACTGCTCCTTGATTAGGCCATTGGCCCGTTCTACCTTACCGGAGGACTGCGGGTGATAGGCAGTGTGTAATTTCCACCGGATTCCTAGGGAGGTAGAAACAGCGTTAGTAACTTTGGAAATAAAGGCTGGACCATTGTCAGATTGTATGGTGGCTGGCAATTCGAAGCGCGGAATGATGTCTTGGATAAGATGAGTGGCCACCGTTCCTGCAGACTCAGACGCTGTAGGGTAAGCCTCAATCCAGCCTGAAAAGGTATCAACAATGGTTAACAGATATCGGTACTGTTTATGTTTTGGCATGTGGGTGAAGTCGATTTGCCAGTCTTGGCCGGGGAGGAACCCCCGTAATTGGTGGAGTTGTTTGCGGGGGTGACAGGACCCCTGGGGGTTAACTTTGGCACAGGTGAGACATTCTGTATGGACCTCATGGATGGTTTGAGAAAGGCCGTCCGGATGCAGAAGTGGACTGAGGAAGTGGAGCAGGGCCTTAGGCCCAATATGACGAGAGTTGTGAATATCCTGAATTATCTGAGTTTGTTGCTGCTTTGGGAGAATGAGAAGGTTGTGCTTAAAGGCCCATTCATCTTTGAACGTCACTCCTGGGGTGCTCTGGAGAGTTTGTTTTTCCCGGTCTGAGTAATACGGTTTGTATGACCTGGACAGGAAATAGAGGCAGGCAGGGGGCGGGTGATTTTTTGCCGTGTCCTTTGCCACCCTATCTGCCAAGGCGTTGCCCATAGCCACTGTGGAGCCAATGGTTTGATGTCCTCTACGGTGGATGATGGCAACCTTGTTAGGGAGTTGGACAGCCTGAATAAGGTTGGCAATAAGTTTCCCATTTAGAACAGGGGTGCCCTTAGTAGTGAGGAAACCCCGTTCCTTCCAGATCATACAATGGGAGTGGGCTATGAGAAAGGCATACTTAGAGTCCGTGTAGATGTTAACTTCCTTGTCTCTAGACCATATTAGGGCTCGAGTAAGTGCCACTAGTTCGGCCTGTTGTGAGGTGGTTCCTAAGGGCACGGAGTGGGTCCTTGAGGAAAATTTTAACAGGCCGATGGTGGGCGGCCACAGTGGGGCTGTTGATATTCCAGACTTGGGGATTTACTTCAGGGAGTAGCGTGGCCAAATCCGCTGTGGGTGTGTGCTCTGGGACATGTGCCAAAAGAAGGAGGTTACACTGGGCAGTGGGGGAGAGGGTAATATTGGCATTTAGCTTGGAGAGAATGTCCCGTCCTAGTAAGGGCACTGGGCAGGTTGGAATTACCAGGAAGGAGTGAGTAAATGGGACAGAGGCATAAGAGCATGTGAGTGGCGGAGTTTGGCTAGGGACTTGGGGGGTTCCGTCAATTCCCATAATAGAGACCTGGGAAGGGAAAGTTTTTCCAGAATATGTGGGGAGCACAGAGAAGGTAGCCCCCGTGTTGAGCAAGAAGGAGACACTTTTACCCGCTACCTTGAGCGTAACCCTGGGCTCCGCAAGGGTAACCGGAGTTGGGGAGCCAGGGCCCCACTAACCGTCCAACAGCCCCAGCAGTTCTGGGAACGGAGAATTCTGGGTGTCTGGTTCCTGGACAGCACGACCAGGTTCCAGGCTTCCAGTGACAACCCCTTGTTGTCCAGTGTGCTGGCCTGGAAGGGCCGGAACCCTGGGTAAACTGGGGCAGTCCGACTTCCAGTGCCCCATGAGCTGGCAAACGGGACATGGCTTGGCGGGTGGACGAGGCTGGGGACAGGTTGAGGACCAGTGCCCCTCTTTTCCACATTTAAAGCACGCCCCAGGAGGAGGGCGAGAACTGCCTTTTGGCTTTTGGGTTCCTGCCGGCCTCAGGGCGGCAGCTAGCAAAGTGACCTTTTGCTTCATTCGGGCTTGGCGGGCTGCCTCAGCTGTGTCCTCCCTGGCGTTAAAAACTTTAAAGGCCATTTTCACCAGGTCTTGTATGGGGGTTTCCGGACCCTCCTCTACCTTCTTTAGTTTTTTCCTGATATCAGGGGCAGATTGGGAAATGAAATGGGAGGCTAGGACAGTGGTCCCATTCTGGGACGCAGGGTCTAGTCGAGTATAGCGGACTAGCGCTTCTTGCAAGCGACCAAGGAAAAGGGCGGGGTTTTCGTCTGCCCTCTGAGTGATCTCCCTGAGTTTGTCATAATTGACGACTTTGTTAGAGACTATATCCATACCCCTAAGAAGGTACTGGATCATGCGGTCCCGTTGGGGTGTGTCGGACCTGTGGCCAGTTTGGTAGTCCCACTGGGGGTCCACATTGGGAATAACTTCAGTACCCACAGGGATTTGATTGGGATTTATGGCATGGTCCCTGTCTGCTTGGTGCCTGGCTGCCATGAGGATGCGCTCGTGTTCCTCGGCAGTGAGGGTGGAAGTGCAGATGACACGTATATCGTGCCAAGTAAGGCTGTAAGCCTGGGTGAGGTACTGGAACTCTTTAAGTAGAGGGGTCAGCTGAAAAAGAGCCGAGCCTGTGCTCGATTTGTGAAAGATCCTGGAGGGAGAAGGGGACATGCACTCTAACCAAACCTTCCGCCCCAGCCACCTCGCGGAGCGGTGCCAGGAGAGTGGGCCAGTGTGAGCGGGTATGGGCTGCCACCGGAGAAGCAAGAGGAGGTGGGGCCTCTAAGGCGGGAAGCGCAGAGGGAGTGGGGGAAGGGCGAGGCAAGGCCTCTGAGGCAGGAAGTGTGGAGGGAGTGGGGGAAGGGCTAACGACTGGTGGTTGCTGGCGGCTGGGGTTGGCGGGAGGAGACAGATGGTCAGGCAGATCCTCCTGCGTTGAGTAAGGCGGGGGAGAAGTAATAGAGATAGTGGAGGAGGTTTTGCGAGAGACCTGGGCTAAAAGAACCTGGTGTGTAGAGCAAGTGGAACAAAGGTCTGGGTGGGTACGGAGATCCCAAAAAGCCTGTACATAAGGCACCTCGCGATCTTTGCCTGTACGGCGGCAGAAATTGTCAAGGTCACGAAGGATATCGGAATCGAAAGTGCCAGTCGGGGGCCAATGTGACTGGTTATCGAGCCGATACTGGGGCCATGCCGCTTGAGACAAGAAAATGAGTTTTTTGCCTCAGGGTTTGCGAGTATCCCAATTTGGAGAAGTTTCGCAATAAACACCCAAGAGGGGAGTTAGGGGGTATTTTAGACTCCGCGTTCCCCATGGCGTGCGCAGCAGTAATTTCCCTGCCAATGGCTGAGTAAATGCAGAAAGAGGCGTCCCCCTTATGCTGCAAGTACCCAGAGATTTGGAGAGTAGATGCAGGAAGAGGCGTCCCCCTTATGCTGCAAGTACCCAGAGATTTGGAGGAGGGAAGAGTCAGAGAGGGCGTCCCCTGTCTGGCGGTTCCCAAAAGGCTCCTGGAGCCTGGTTGGAGGACCCTGCTCGGGCCGGCCGGCGCTTGGCGAGAGGTCCGTGGATTTGGAGTTGGGAGGGACCACAGTGCACACCACGGGGAAGGAAAGGTAAGGAAAAAAAGAACGAACTTACCTTAGTCGGAGTGCAGAGAAGCCGGATTCAGAGAGGTCGCCAAGGGGAGGGGGCTGCGGCTGGGCCGGCAGCCCAAACCTCCCGGGTTTTGGCACCACTTGTGCGACCCCTGGTTGTGGGACCCCAACCCACGGAGGCAGGCACCCAGTAGACACGAGGCAGGACGCATGGTGACCGGTGCCGACTTTATTGGGACCTCCGGGTGACTCAAGCGGGAAGGGAGGAATCGCGCCCGCTTTCCTTGTTCGGTCGGTTTTATAGGGGCAGAGGGCCTGGGGCGGTGGGAGAGCAGTGGCGGCGGGTGATGATTGGTTAGTCCCGGTTGCCGGGCGGGGAGTTTGCTGAACGGGAAGTTGAGTGGGCAGGAGGTTGATAGGGCATATAGTGATTGGTCAGGATTTGGGCAGGAAGTTTGCTGGGCGGGAGCTAAAGAGGCAGGTGATGATTGGTTAGGTGGTTGCTAGGCGGAAGGGGCTGGAGTTCCTTCAGTCGGGGGCATTGTGCCGAGTCACGTAAGGAAGTTAAGCTCCTTCCATGTGGCTGGGGGTTGGGGCCAGAGAGGCCTTCTACCAGACACTAAGGAGTTGATGTCAGACTTTGAATTGGGTGGTGATGGTGGAGATGAAATAGTGAATGTGTGCAGAGCAGGCAAGTCTGAATGAAGAGAAGGAATGGGGCTATTATAGGCGCTTTGCCAAAATAAATAATAGTCACTATATGCTGTATCCTTACTATGTGACAAGATTGTCATCTGCTTTATAGACATTGTTTTTAAACCTATCAATAACCTTGCAAAGTGAAGTTTGTGGATTATCAAACAGGTCCTGAGAAGAACTTTGCCCCAGCAAGTTTTCATAGGGTTAGTGACGGAAATCTCTCTGGATACAAAAGCCAGTGGAAAGTAGTACAAATCATATATCCTTTACACAAATAAAGAAACTGCTGGATCACCACTTCTCTTGTGGGGTTGAAGAGATCATTTAGGTAGATATTCCTTTTAAAGATGTAAAAGATGTAATAATGGTTTACAAACTTAAATTCTTTTACTAGCAAGGAGAGGGAGTTGGCCATTGGAGAGAAAGTACTGATGGACATGGTAAGAAAGGATTTTAGGTTTAGATACAATTCATTTTAATGGGTGGGAATAGGCAGAATAAGAATTATATGGCTCCAGGTTACTTAGTATTGATCTAAGCTTCACTTTATGCAAACCAATTGAGACTTTCCTGAAGTATAAATTGAGCTATATCTTAATTATGAGAACATATTAATTAATTAATTAATATAAACAGGACCAGACCACCCCCAAAAATTCACATACTAAGCATCAGCAGTGGTCCTATATTATCACAGTTGCATTTGGAAATGTATCAATCACGTTCTTTATCATGATATTTAGGCTGAAGACACAGGCTAGAAAAGGGCTTTGCCCATATATATAGACAAACATGGTCATAGATAAACTTAAGATAATTAGAGAGATGCAGAGAATTTATGGTGCTGTGAAGAGACTATTTTCGATTATGTGCACTAGGAAGGTGTCCCAGAGATGTGGCGTTTATAAGCAGAGATTTGAATAACAAAAATGAACTAGCCATGGAAATCAAATATAGGAGGTAGAAATTCTAGGCAGAGGGACTAGCTAGTGCAAAGGTGGGCACATGGTTTGTGTGTGTGTGTGTGTGTGTGTGTGTGTGTGTGTGTGTGTGTTTTCCCCTAGGACTCTAACACAGAAGGTGAAGAGAGAATGGTGGGAAGCTGGATTGGAGAGGTAGGGAGGGGCCACATCATTTACATTTGGCCCCTCTGTGATAAGGGATACCCATATTAAAATAAATTGCCTCTAGATGGGTTATAAGAGTGTGTCAAAAAACTCAAGTCAACAGGTTTCATTGCTATGTACCATGAGATGCTGCAGCGCAAGAATGTTTTCCATAATGTTTGTTTTTATTTGTTGCTTTGTATTAATGCTAATGTATTTAAGTTCCCATTGTTAGCCCCTGAAGAACAGTGCAGACATCTACTCCTTATAGTTCCTAATCCACACAATAATTCTCAATTAGTGAATGAATATTGATTGAATGGTGTAGACTAGTTAATGTTATCATTGCCACAAATGACCTCTAACTTGAGTTAGCTATCCCATGAATAGTCATCATAGTTATAAAGAGAATCACAAGGCCTACTAGATCATTGAAAATTCATTATTACTCAAAACAACTCCAAGTACATAATGTCCTAGGTAATACTCTACATGAAGTGATTTGCCACAAAACTTGTGCTTTGCTTTTGAATTTCATGCTTCACATTCTGTTCGGAATGTGTATTACATAGTATCCCATAGTAGTGTTACTATTAACCTATATTTACTTATAATGTTATCTTCTACAGCATGATGTTAAAAAAATGTTGCTGCTTTTCATCTGAAAAATTTTAGGGAGGAAAATGTTTGTCTTTTTTTCTC